CAAAATTTCTTTCCCTGCACCCCAAAAAGAGCTCAGAGGAGCAGGATTTTGGATCCTTTGGAGCTGATTCCCAAAATTTCTTTCCCTGCACCCCACAAGGAGCTCACAGGAGCAGGATTTTGGACCCTTTGGAGCCAATTCCCAAAATTCTGCTCCCTGCAGCTCAGGGACCAGCCGGGAGTTCTGGCGACGAAAGGAACGGCCCCGGCAGCTGGGAATGAAAGGAACAGGCTCGGAATTATCAGCCGGGGATTCCTGACCCCCCCGTCCCCGCCTCAGCTCCCTCGCCATAGTAACAACCACCCGGAACATCACAACAACAACAACAAACCCTCGGCGCTTCCCCGCCTCTGCCTGGAAAAAAACCGGCAGAAAAAGAGCGAAAATATCGGATTTGGAAAGGATTTCACGGTGTGGGGCAGAGCAGCGCTCTGAGATTGTTGTGCCCCCCATCCCGAGCATCCTTTGGGATGCAGGAGGGGCTGGGGGGCTCTGGATTCGCCCCTTCCCCCATCCCGGTCCCTCTCCAGGCTCCTCCTGGCAGCTGCGATCTCCTGATGGGAGGGACGAGGGTTGTGGAAGGAAATATTCCCGTCGGGAATCCAATATTTCCTGGCACACCGGTGTCAGGGGTGTCACAGCTCCGGGACGGGGGGGGAAAACCTGCTTTGTTTTTTGAAAGAGCTCAAATCGTCCTTTTTTAAACCCTGAGTGGGGTGAAAAATCCGCAGAGCAAGGTGAGGTTTGCTCGTGTCACAGCTGAGCTCAGGAGTTTGAATTTAATATGAATAATTTAATTTTATTCAAATAATTTAATTTAAATAATTTGATTTATTTTAATTTAATTCAAGAGCCAGGACCCACCTGCAAGGGCAAAGGGTTTCCCTTCCCCACCCAGCTCCCACCAGGATCCTAAATCCCCTTTTTTGTCCCCAAAATCTCCCTCTGCCCCAGCAGCACGGGTCAAACACAAAAACGCTTTTCCAAGCCCTCGGGTTGTGTTTCCAGAGCTCTTTTTTCTCTTTATTTCAGC